TGATAAGACTTGGATGATGTGACGGCCTTTCCTGTAGGGAAGTTATGAGTTAATCAATCAGGTCATAATCTCCTAGGTAACCAAAGAGGGTTCAACTCCTGCTGACCCTCCAACCTTTTAGGAAAATGACCTTAGATAGGCAGCAGAGCCCCTCCCACCCACTACAGCAGCTCATCGGCCCTCAGGAAACATTTTCCTTTAAAGGTCCAACAGCAGCGCAGGGCTGAGAATTAAGCATCATCTCTGCAGCTTCAAGCGGACCTTCGCCATCAGAATGGTGCAGATAGAGTTGGACGCTCCTGATCCGACCATAAAAACACTAAGAACATTAACTATTTACAGACTTCCACAGCAGGTGGATCAGTTTTCCATCAGCACCTCTAACCCCCCCCCTGTCTGCAGGCGTCTACGGGCTGCCCCGCTGTCCTGGGGAGAGCTCCCACGTCTGCGACATGATCCGGGAGGCTCTGAACCGGGGGGCCTACAGCGACCTGGTCCAGAAACAGTAAGTGTTGAAGATCCGGTTGGTTCCGGTCTGCGCTCGCTGTGACCGACCCGTTTGTTCTTTCAGCCTCGTACAGGCCCAGTACTGGCACGACCCGCTCAACGACGACCTGTACAAGAAGCACAGCCTGTTCCTGGCCGACATCAACCAGGAGCGGGTCAGAACCCCCGGCAGCATGATCCCCCCCCCCTTAGAACCGGCGACTCATCTCCTCTGTGTTTCAGGCCGTTAACGAGACGTACAGGAAGAACCTGCAGAGGCTGCAGAAGTTCGTCATGGTGAAGTTCCTGCAGGACACCGTGGTGGATCCGGTGGATACTGAGGTAACGGATCCCGGTCCGGTTCGGTCCGGTCCGTGGGATTCTGGTGCCTGAGGCTGCATGTGTTTGTGTTTCTGAAGTGGTTCGGGTTCCTGAAGGCGGGCCAGGCCAAGGAGACAGAGACTCTGCAGGAGAGCGTCCTCTACAAAGAGGTAACCACGGGAACCGCATCCAGAACCATGGGAACCGCATCCAGAACCACGTCCTCGGACCCGCTGAAGGTCTGAATCACCTTGTTCTGTTTCTGCAGGACCGTCTGGGTCTGGCTGCCATGGATGCCGCCCAGAAGCTGGTTTTCCTCTCCACCGACGGAGACCACCTCCAGTTCTCCAGAGAGTGGTTCACCGCCAACCTGCTGCCGTTACTGAGGTAGACCAGCAGGCGGCGCTGCTGCACAGCCGCTTCCCTCTTTGCACTGATGCTTGTAGCCCATCCAGAAGCTTCCAGGTGATTGTAGCTTCTGCAGAACCTCTAATAATCTGTAATTTAACCCAATAAAGACACAAACTTCCTGCTGATTTTGAATGTTTTAATGACTCTAATGAGAACATTTCACTTTGGACCCAAAAATAAAGAATAAGTGACAGAAAACAGAAAATCAGAGCAAATCCTTAATCTGATTACAGACTTCCAGGTGATGAAGGTGCAGCTTCGTCTCAGACTTCCTGACCTGGAATGTTTCTAGCACTTGGGAATGTCCTGTGAGCGATGAGGGAAGGACGTGGAACACTAAGCCTTCCTGATCCGATTGTTCAGAACCTTATTAAGTCGGCAGCAGAGGCGACATGATGCTTCGGGTTCGTTTCTAAGCGCTTTAACTGGAAGTTGCATAAAAAGGAAACAGGAAATGAGGAAACTTCCTAACAGAGGCGGCTGATTGGCTGCTGAAAATCTAATCTAGCTCTCTCTTTAGCTGTTAGCTGCTGATTGGCTGGAGGATCTGCTCCAGAACATGAGCAGCCCTCTCATTGGCTAATGAAGGGTCAGCTGCAGCTGTGATTGGCTAATAAAGATCATGGGGCGGGGTTAAACTCATGAGGTCTGAATCTCAGTCTAGAGTGCTTAGCAGGTGGGTGGGGTGGATCAGTCAGGGAGGGGCGGTGGTGAGGAGGAGGGGGAGGAGTCCCGTCTATCCGGCGATCTCTGTTGCCGTGGTGACGAGCTTCTGGCCATCCCAGATGGTCTTGAACTGTTCAGGAACAGGAATCTCCGTCTAGAGGAAAGAGAGGAACGTCAGAAGGTCCAGAGAACGATTCGGGCGAAGAAGACAAAGACGCGCGTCCAAGTCGGGTCTCTAACCACCGACGGGTCCAGAATCCAAACGAGGAGCGTCCGTCCTCACCATGAAACATCCAACGCTCGTTTAATGTTTAAAATTATTCCTGAACCCGGAACTAATTTAAAAAAATCAACCAGTAAAGGAAACATTTTTAATTCTAATCAGTTACTTTAAACAGAATTTAACTCTGAAATAAAATGAGGTGTTTATGCATCCATGTTATAGATTGAATTTTTAAATAAAAAAAATGAACATTTTGTATTTTAAAATCTAAATTGTGTTTTGAAGTAGAGAACAACAATCGTTCAGTTTGGCATATAGATAATTTCCTGATTCCCATATTTTCTCAAACCCCTGAACTGATGGTTTGTTATTTTCTTTCTTTTTTCTGTCTTAATGTTGGCAGTGGGCTTTAGGCTGCCCTGCAAGGCTTTAAACCTGGGTTTAACCAGAGACTAAGCCATTCTCAAGCACATATCAAGGAGCTCATTTTGAGCCTGGATCCAGATTTATTGTTGATTCTGTTCATGGTGGAGAATCCTGCTTCACAGCAGCAGGTTGAGCCAAACATCCTCTAAACGTTCAGGGTCATCTTTAAGCTTTAAACACAGATCAGTTCCACTTAGATCCGCCTCAGTTTCAGGAGTTACTCACAAACTCTCCGTCCTTGTTGGGAACCAGGACGTTCATCTCGGAGCTCTTGGCGCTGATGATCTCGCAGCTCAGGGAGTCCTGACTCAGGTAAACATGGCAGCCGTCGGTCTTGTTGATGGAGATGGTGGGAACCTTCCCCATGACCTTCAGACGGGACAAACCGGAGCGGATCAGCAGCTTCTACTCACCATCAGGACCAGACGCCGTCGTGTTGACGTACCTGGACCTTCACGTCCCTGCAGTTGATGACCTCCACGATTCCCACCACGTCATCAAACACCAGACCCATCTTCTTGCAGCTGTCTGAGGGAAACAGTCATCATCCACGTTAAATTTACTGTCTCTCTCAAAATGGCTTCATTTTCTGACATCCTGCCGCTCCCTGAATGGGTCTCATGACGGAGGCGGTCCAATCAGGAGGCGGTCCAATCAGGAGGCGGTCCAATCAGGAGGCAGACTGGAAACACCTGGACCGTCTGCACCCAGACCTGGATGTAGACGGTCTGGAAGGGATCAGAACCGCTCAATGACAATGAGGGAGAAACGGGCCCTGAACCTGGGGCCCCCGCTGTCCTGCCTCAACCCGGGGCCCCCGCTGTCCTGCCTCAACCCGGGGCCCCCGCTGTCCTGCCTCAACCCGGGGCCCCCGCTGTCCTGCCTCAACCCGGGGCCCCTGCTGTCCTGCCTCAACCCGGGGCCCCCGCTGTCCCCCTGGTTCGATTTATTCTATAGAATCTCTATAATCGTTTTTAATAAATATTGAAGCGTTCTCTGCTGACAGCAGCACCAGAACAGGATCGGGTTAAAGGTCCGTTTGCAGTTTTCCAGCCTTCCTACCAGAACCAGAACCAGGATTCCTCTGGAAAACTCTGCTCCCTGATAATCCTGAATAACTTCATGTTGAAGATAATAAATATGAATATTACAGCTGAACTGTTGATAAACTCTAAATCTCGCTGATAAAACCAAACCAATAATAATGTAGATTTGCTCCATAGATGTTAATGCTCTGAACTTCTAGATCTATGCTTTTATTGGATCCTGTTTTCATGAACTGTTTCCATTTGATCACTGCTGAACTTTATGAAAAGTTATTTATATCTATAAATAAAAGGCCTAGAAAGCCTAATCTAGCAAACCCCCAGCAGGGGGCGCAGGTCGTCTCTGTTCAGCGTTCTGCTCTCATGTTCCAGTGGTTCTGGAAGGAACCAGTCTGATAATTCAACAAATGTTCTGGTTCTGGTTCTGACCCGTCTCCATGGTCCAGCTGAGTTCTTACCGATGGTGATGGAGTTGATCTTGCCTTTGACCTGCAGGGTGCTCTGGTTGCACTTGTAGGCGTAGACCACCTGCTTCAGCTCCGTGTTGCTGATCACCAGACCCTGAGCCCCCTCCTGGTTCTCCTGATCTCAGAGGAAGCAGAGAGCGGCGGGTCACAGCGAGTCCACCCACCCATCCAGGAACAGCCCACAGAACCAAACACTCACCACTTTCCACTTCTTCCCCTCCAGCTCCAGGACAGGAGGCAGGGTGCGGCCGGGGGCGGCAGAACCTGCGGGTCGGGGGGAGGGGGAAGCGAACGGTTTGGGTCCGGAGCGGACGGGAGCCGCCGCGCCCCCCTGGCTCCTCAGAGTCGGGTTTTTGTGGGTCTTCTGGTCGTCGCTGACGTGCTTCAGGCCTGGAAAAGATTTAGGGTCAGAGTTGAAGCTACAGGCGGTTCAGAACCGCGGCAGAACCGCAGCAGAACCACGGCAGAACCGCGGCAGAACCGCGGCAGAAACGCGGCAGAAACGCGGCAGAAA